CTTGTCTGCACTAAGGCGGCAAGCAATATTATTTTAATACTAATGTCCTAAGTGCAGAATGGAAAAGTTTTCAGAAGTTTGAAAAAACTGCTTATAAGAAAATGTTCCCGAGAATTTGTTTCTAGATATGCACACAGTGCACTCGACTGACCCAAGGAATGTTTATATACTTAACTAAAACCTTATCTAAAAAGGATGCTTTAATTTAATGAAGAACAATGTTCTGTGACAATTTTTAAAAGAGAAAATCAACCCTTCTCTCCTCCAAATTCCCAGTCCTTTCACATCAAATTACAAAGACACTAATATAATGACACCTGGGAATGTGCTTTCATCTGCCATAAACTCTAATACTACCATTAACTAGCTCAGCACTAGAGCCTCATTAAAAAAAAAAAAAAAAAGAGAGAAAAAGTTAGAAGCCTAAATCTATATTAAGGTGTCTGACAATGAGCCTCAGTTTTTGAGAGTGAGCAATTAGAAGTCTCTTCAGAACTGCTGTGAGAACATCAGTCTTGATGAATAGGTCACCTGAGGAGCCTCTGCCTCTCTGGGGTAGAGATTCAGCAGATGGTCCCCCACAGGTGACTCTCGTGAGAAGCCAGGATTGGAATCAGCACTCTGATCATGTCTTAAAAGGCTAAAACAAACCTGTAACACCAGTTTTTATGTCAGATTGGGTAATATCCGTTTTCCTACAGCCACTGCAATGTTGATTAGCTCCATACTACATGACCTGGTGCAGAAATAGGACCTTGCCTCTTTGTCCCACCAGGAAGCTCTGGCTGTGATGCCACATATCTGCAGCGGTTACAGTGGAATCAGAACCATAGCAACATCACTTATTTTTAATAACTCTGGTTCAGTTGTGCTTGCAAACCTCCTGTCTTGCATACACATTTATGCCTAGCTAAGAGACAAGGTGAATCTACTTCAGTACTCACATTAATGAGAAATGATTTGCTGTTGAGGAGGTTGGAGAACTGGTACAAAGCCTGCTCCACAGTCTGGCGCCTGGCCTCAGGAATATCCAGCTTCCCCGTAATCATCACATCTTTCTCTCCGTCTTTGGAGGGCAAGAAGAAGACTCTGTCTGTGTAGGTTTTGTAGTCCAGTACTGGAATTCCAGCTTCATTGATATCATTTGTCTGATCCTCCATCTCTATCATTAGATCTGCAATATGCAATGCAGTTTAAAGGTTCATTTAAAGAAGTCTGCAGGTTTTTTAGGCAACACAATCTCTTTGGGAGCCTTGCAACAGAAAAAGAGCAACTCAGCATTAAAAACTCTTATTTCACCTCACATTTTCTCTTGCTATTTTTACCAATTATCCTGTTAAGTATGACCACAATTAATCCTATGGTGACATGAGGATAACTGCCTTTAGCACTGATGGTTTCCTTGTTGCTGACTATCTGAAAAAGGGCCTTAATGGGCATATGTGTGAGTTTATATATATGAATGTAGGATTGTAGCACAGAACAAAAAAAAAGACGTGATTTTTTTTTGTTTGTTTGATTGTTTTGTTTTGGTTTTTTCCCAACCCATACCCTCTGAGTCTAGGTAGTAATGAAAGTTCTTTTAAAAACAATCAAGGAAAGAAAGATTTAAAGTGTAAAGCACGCTAATTTAATTTAATTGAAACGAAAGGAATGGCAGGAAGGAAGAAGGTTAAATAGTTCATTGAAATTGATGGAAACATTTCTGTGGGACTCTAAAGCTCTGAAGTTCTTAAAAGGGACAAAAATTAGGGAATCATCCTTTGGAGCAGCTCTTCTAGCTGAAGGCTTTCCAATTACCCAATATTGCTGATTGACTAGAATACCATGTTAATTAATCTAGTGACCTATTGTCTCAGGAGTTTTATTGCTCTTATTCATTCATTTACCTCTTTATTTTATAGCATTCAGCAAAGCTGAGAGAGAAAGTATCTTCTGGTTTCCTTCTTTATGGCATTAGCACTTTCTTCCTGATGTTCCTCTCCTTGACTATCTTTAGTCCCATGTATTTATATTGTCTGCACTTCATGCTGTTGACATTGCAGTTTCACAATATGGAAACAGAATGTGTTTCAACTTCAGTATTTCATGTAACTCAGTTCAGGTGGGTGTAGTTTAGGAACTGAATTACTCCTTGGATGTACACTGTGCATGTACTTCCCCAGTGTTTGTACTTTCTGTACCTTCAAACCAACAGGTAGCAGAAATCTGTAGCCCCTTACTCTCGCCCCAGCAAGAGAAAAGCATCTTCTTTCAGAAACAGGTATGAAGTGCCATGGGAGAAGTGGAGAGAGGAATGGACCTTGATAGATCCTCTCACAGTTCAAAATGCAGTTTGAAATTAAGCCCATTTGGGAATAGTTCTTGATTCAAACATTTGCTTCTAGTTTGTGTCCAGAACCTGGAAGGAGTTGGTTTTCCAGAAAAGGCAAGCTGGTACAAGTCAAGAACACCTTGTCCCAGAAATGCCCAAACAAACACGACTGGGGTTGAGGCTGAGGCTGAGGCTTTCAGCATGGCTGAAATATTTGAGATACCCTGACCTTCTTAAATTAATTTCCAAGTCTAACCTGAAATTGCTGTTTTATTCAATCCTGCTTTTTAGCTATTGTCAATATGAAATAATGTTTTATCTTTAAAAATAAAATATGTGGGTAATTTTTTTAATAGGGATTATTTCAACATGACCCAATAGCAAGTATAATCCAGATAATGAGGTGACATTTCATGGTAATCATTTAGGCCAATATTTGCTATGTTTACACTCAGACGCCAAATGTAAGTGTTGGAATGAGTAGTTCAACATGTAAAAATGCTGAGCCTTCACACCTTCTGCTGCCTTCCCTGGGATGATGCCCCTACATTTACACAGAACAATTAGCTAGCTCCCCAAAACAAGCTCAGGTTTTTCCCCACGATAAACAGGGAAAAATGCTATTTCTTTCCTGTGAGCTTAGCAAATTATCCCTTTGTATGCTGATTGCTGCAAATAAATTTTGCAGCTCTCAAACATCTCCTGATGTGCATACTTAGCACAGTCATTGTGCAAAATACTAAGTGCATGGTTAGTCACGACAAAACATTCTTATCTTCATATTAATGACCACTCACATTAATGACTATAAGTAACCCCTAGCTCAACTGGTTTCTACTCCCAGTTTCTAACTCTGTGATTCCTTTAGACTAAAACTATCCATTTCTTTTTATTACTTTGGCTACCTATTTTACTTCTTTTATATACAATAGCAAAATATCTGCTCTATGTCAATGTCATTAATGAAGACTACAAAGATCTATTAATTATTTGTTCCCAAAAGACAGTTTTAGCAAGCTAGTACCATTCCTTCAGTCTGTCTTCTGATTCCTCAAGGGGATGCACAGCAGTGAAAATTTCTGTCATACCTGTGAATTCCTTCTTGCACCGGTCTCTGACACTCTCCTCCAGGCCTTCAAGCTGTGATTTAATTTTTTCATACTCTCGTTCTGCTTGTTGGCTCTGGCGTCTTTATGAAATAGAAGTAAGATTTAAAAAAAGTTATGAATTACAGAAGCAAACAATTTGGAACAACACTGAGAGGGAAGCCAAAGGACTGGAGGAAATTTTCCTGGCTTTGATTTTTTTTTAAATATAGCAGAAAGAGAATAGAGGAGGAAAACAGCAACAGTTGGCTGAAGTCTTCATTCCACATAAATCAACTTGGCACCACCATGGTCGGCTGCTTCAAAGCACACTTTGGCCAATGATTTAAAATCCAGTAAGAAGTAGCTAAAACGCTTTCAATCACAAATCAAATACAGAAACTCAATTTGTATGCACTGAACAAAGATTGCTTGCAACATATCCTGAACTGGCTCTAAGCCACTCAGGAGTGTGTCTGGGATTGAACTGAAAACGTTGACAGAGATCCATGAGAACATCAGGGCTGTACAGCACATACTTCAACTATATTGATATGTACCACAAGAGTGAAATCCACCTCCTTCTGAGGGACAGTATGAGGCCCTCATTATTAACCTTAAAATTGGACTAAGTAGGTCTTAAGTGAAATACAGACATTGTTCTGGCCCTTTATGAAGCATGAATTTTACTGTTAATCATGTAGTTTGTGTGTGGGTAGCACTTATCTCAGCTGGAAAGGCCAAAATGAACCCTTAGTAAAATCCATCCAGCTCAGACCTACAGTGCTGACTGAGGCAGCATAAATGCTGATGGGTATGTATACAGAATAAGTTATCTCTTTCACAAGTGGCACTTTAGCTGCCATTTCAAAAAGCTATGTGTGCAACTCAGTCTGCAATTGTGTGGTTGAGAAGCCTGGGACCAATTGCTGTGTTTATGTACAAAGGACGGACTGGGCTGACTGACACCAAGGAATTTGGTGTGCGTGAGAGGAATAAATTGGTGCTTATACATATTTTCAGCTGTCATTCCCTTTCTTAACTCCGTAGATCATAAAAAAGATGAAGATAATTTCTGTAGACTGAGCTGAAAACAATCCTGAAAGCTTTAGGACAACAAAAGCACCTAATTAAAGGAACTTACCTGTAACAGATGATAGAAATACCAATTATTGCTATCATAGGAATAAGTACCAGTGGCAAAATAAGATTCAGTGGGATATCAGTCACACGTGTATCATATTCTACCCTTCCAAGGATCCATTCCCGGAGTCCAAATTTCACCTAATTGGATAAGCACAGACATTTGTCTCAAAAAGAGCAAATGGATGGTGGTTCATTTCTCAGTTGCACTCTAAATTCTTAGTAATTCCCATAAGTGAATTTCTAGCTCAAACTGCCAGACAAAGGAAGCATTTCTGAATATTTTATGCTGAATTTGGGTCACTAGCACTTTATTCCATGAAGTCATTTAATTTTGCTCAGCTGAGGAAAGAAAAATCCCCAGTCTGTCTAGCTACAGTTTTACATTCCTGTGTAATGAAGGTAGAAGGCATGTGGCAGCTTGGGACTGCTCTTCACATGTTATGTCTTTTATGCAGCAGGCAGAAGCTGAAGGAAGAAAGAACTTCAAGGAGTTTCTTCATTGTACTACAACAACTTTGGAGAACAAATCACTTCAGTTAAGAAGCACTGTATCAGTTCCACTTACACATGATACTAAATTCTATAGAAAAGGTAACCTACAATGAATTCAGGAAGGTTATTGATGGTATCTCTCTTCTGCCGTTTCTTTGGTTGAGGCTGTACTTCTGGTGGCTCACAGTATAAGTCCGTTTCAGTTAGAGTCTTTATGTTGCAAGGCTCATCACCCACAAAAGCCTGGGCCTCGTCTATTGTCATGGCTTTGTTCAGGTTACTGCCCTAGACAGAAAATAAAAAGCTAAGTCATCATCGGAAAGTCCTGGGAGACAAGAAATCCTGACTTGCAGCTTTCCATTTGGATCACTTTTAGCAGCAGATGTGATTCGCACTGCAGCCTACAGAACTGCAGAACGATTGGGAATTACGCGATTTCTCTCCTTGACTTGTGCGATATAAGATGTCCCTTCCAGTTCCTGGGAGCTCTGCCGGGAGAGGGTCTTTCCAAATGCCAGGCTCAGCAGGAGAGGGCATTCCTTGTGCCCCCAAAGTATGGCTAAAAAGATAGCAACTCGCTCTGAGAAGGGGCTGGGAGAGGAAAGGGGATCTGTCAATGTTCATCATCTCGCAGAGGTAAGGGACTCAACCAAGCATTTGGGGTATGGCACCAGACAACTGTTAAGGCTTTGAGAAAGGAAGGAAAATTGCATACATGCTTCAAGAACAAAATGAGAAACCAACTCTCTACAAGTTTACCTTTGCATTAATAAGTTTGTTAACTTGTTTTTTGATGCCATCTGTGAAGTTTTCAAAGGTTGGGTCTGCAACATAGGCAAAGGAATGGCTCTCATTTTTTACAACCAACTCATAATGATCCATTAGAATAACAGTAGTAATGTTGTAGTTTTCTGGGTCTTCCAGTATTGGTGGGGAAGAAAAAACGACCGTGGTTTCATTGAGTCTTGTAACAAGATTTCCATAAAACTGCAAGAAACAGGACAAGAAGAATATGCATGTTTTAGAGTCTGACTTGTTCCTGTACATAACTGTTGGTAACTTCAGACTGTAGAAATAAAAGCACTGGATTTACATCCTTACCATCCAGCAGAAATAGCATAGTATAAGATATTTTCCAAAAAGAAAATGAAATAAATTTGTTGATGAGAATAAATCATTGATTAATTGTTCTCTAGCAGCTACAGAGCAGTTTCCATTGCTTCCAAATTCTGTGGCTCTTTAACACACCGGACTGCTATCATTAAGTTCCTCTCAGATTAGGAAGTTAACATGTCACCTTTAATCCTGATCATCTTCTGTACCATTAATTATCTTGGGTAAATTCTTTTCTACTCACACTGTATAATACCTCACTGAAATTCAATACAATTACTAAGTGAAATTTTGGGATAAAATTTAACAGTTGTCACTCAATTGCTCAAGGTAACAATTCAGTTCACCCATCCTCCATTCCCAATTATACAAATGTTTTTACCCCGATACACTTTCAAGTAACATCAACCATAGTCAACAAAATTAATAGGAGCCCCCAACATTTGTTCTATCACTACCTCTGTTTCTCACTTTGCAACTCAATGTAATTTGATAGCTTCTCTCCAACATTCCTGATATTGCCATATAAGTGGAAGAAAACCAAAAGATTAGAAAAGCTTTTAGTCTTAACCAAGAATGTGTGCTATATGTAATGCTGACTTAAGCTTACAGACTGAACATATGTAAGAAGAAGGGTAAGAAATGTTGATAAACACTGTCAAGAATGCTAAATACACTTATAGGTTGTCTTGGGAGTCACGGTTATCAAGATAATTACATCTTGCAGTATTTGGCCTAACAAATATAGGCAGTTTTCCTTTTAAAAATCTTTAAGGATAGGGTTCTAATGGCTCCAAATCCAGCTGGCTTTGGCATACTCTAATAGTTGAATCATGCATACATTAAAAAACATACACATTAACAACTCTTTATGGATCACAAGACAGTCTTAAACTGAAGTGCCAGCCTTAGAAAAAGTCTTATAACATTCCTTCAGGGAGATCACTTTTAAGTCCTAAATCATGTCATTAAATTCCCACTTCATTAGAAAAGTTGGAAATTGAGACTATTGGTAATGTCAGTTCCTCTTAACATGAGATGCAAGAAGGGTTTTTTTTTAAATATTATTTTTCACAATTTTTTGTGAACCTGCTACGTGTGGAATATGCACGAAGCAAGAGAGAAAAGAACACTTGGTTCATTGAGATATGAGAAAAATAAAAGGCACTGACTCTGCAAAGCTGAGTACTCTGCATTGTCTACATTTGGGTCCTGTTTCAGACAAATCTGTCAAGCTTGCAGGGGGAGAAGAAGGAGAAAGATAAAGCAAAACCAAACACTTTCAAATTCTGAAATACATCCACTTTATTACTCAAAGATTAATTTTTCTATCCTTATTCATATTGAATGAAAGTAATTTCAAAGCAGAAGATGGAAAGGTACAAGTGAATGTAAGTCAAGATGCTACAGAGGAATGTCAAGATCTTCTCCCACAGAAACCCTGAACAGACCTAGAAATCTGTTCAAACCTTATTTTACCCCAAGCCCAGTGAAGTCCAGTGGGCAAACTTTAATGCAGTTTTTTAACAGATTATATACTTTGCATCCAGTGCAGTGCCTTTGGGAGGAAAGAAAGAAAATTACCTTTTTTTGATTTATCTTCCCTGCTTCTGGACGTTCTGCATATACCAGCAATGAGAAACTCTGGATGAGCTCAAAACTGGTTCCAGTTACTGTAATATTTCTCCCTCCACTGAAAGATAGAATTAAAAAAGAAGTCAAGTCATTGGCAAACTATCAAACCTATGCACTGCTTCATCCAGCACTGCTACTACTTCCACTGAAAAAAACTCTCTATATAATGCCTACATGACAATTAGATATCCTACAAAAAGGACTTTTGTTAAAGCTATCAATGACCACAGCATTTAAAACCAGCAATGTCAACTTAAAAATCACTTGAAAACAGCAGAATTAAAAAAAGTACAAAGTGCTTTGCCAGTGTTTTTGGTTTTTCATTGATGCCAATCTTGTATGCCTTACTTCTCCAATATGATTATTAAAATCACTCTGCCTACCATACACACAAAGAGACAAAGAGACAAAGGTGAGAGTGTATTTTCCACAGATCTGTAGGGACCTGGCTTTTTTATTCCCTTTCATTTGCAACACACTGTTTAAAAAATAATACATTCACATAAGAGGAAGAATGCATGCAAGTTGCCAGTAGGAATTAAAGTCATTGAAGTAACATGGATTTAGAGGGATAGCAAACCTCAAAGCAATCCATAAAAGTAGGTTTCGGTTTATATAGAGGAAAAAAAGAAGTAATTTAAATTCTATGGAGTAAATCACTATTGATCTATCAAAGAAATAGTCCAGATCCCCAAATCACCCAAAACAAAAATAAAAAGCAAACGTTATAAACCCAAATCCTATTTTATACAAGTCACTGTTCAATATTCAAGGAGACAGGTACTAATATCGCCAAGAGAAGTCATGGCCAAATTTATTTTTAATGTTCTGTTTGTTAGGTCATGTTGTTACACTTCTTTTTACTGAAAGAAAGTGGAAACATCATGATCTCACTCTGCCAACTGTACCCCACTATGCAGACAGATCAGAATATTGGGGAACAGCAGAGACCAACATGAATCAGGCTCCTTTTTGTCCATGTATAGGTCACAGAATGACTTTCAAAGCCAGAGGTATGCTACAAGAGCCTTTATACAGATGATTTGCTGTATTGCTACAAAGACAGGAATGCCAGACATTTCTTTGTTTTCCCCATTAGTCCTGTGTGAACTTTTCCCCAAAAGGGACAGCTACCAGATGGGGTGTTACTGAGTACCCCCATAGAACAGCGCATATTTTCTAAAAACATTATTGAACCCTGGTCTAGATTTCCTAAGAAGATACTCTTTTTTCCTCATGAGAAAAAGAAAGAGATGACACACCATAACTTTCCTCTGTTTCCAGCACACTTATTGAAAGCTAAATAGAAGAACTGTTAAAAACCTCTCCATTAGAAACTTTTTATATAGGTTATCCAAGTACGATAAAGGTTTGTAACTAATGCAAAGATCATTCGTCTGACATGCTGAAATACTTCAAACCTCTTTCTTTGAGACATCATCATTTATAAGAAGCTCTTTGCCTTTTCTGGTTTCAGGTTTGACCCTTGAAATGGGATGAAAATTTAGAGGTAAACAGAATACTTTCAAGTATCAGTTGCAGTTCAGACCACAAACCCTACGTACTTAAATGTGTGCATGGCCACAGTACAGAAGTTTATTTCAAACAGTTCTGTATATAATAGGTTCATTAAATATTATACACATTTTAACCCAATTTTAAATAAAGTTATGACAAACATTTCATTACCTGCTGAAGCTATTTACTGGCAGGAATTTGGTGACAGTAGGATTCCCACTGTATGTAAACAGCTGTGGTACAGTAATTGTCATGCCCCCATAGTTCATTGTGACTGGAACAGTTTCAACCTTGTTATTTGGTCCCGTAATGCAAACGATCTCGTCTCCAAATCTGGTGCTTGATTGGAGAAGAAAAAGAAGAGGAAACATCTTCTGTTACTAATATTTTTGGTTTGTATTCATTTACTGTAGTACCGCAGAAGCAAAACAACCAGGGCTCTATTTTTGCCAGGCACCAACTAGTTACAAGAGGAGACATCACTTTTTTCAGATTACTTAGGCTTTTTAAAAAAGATGTAGGATATGACAATGAATAGTGTAAAAACACAGGAACAACGCAATGTCAACACACTTAGCGTTCTTCCCTTTTTTGAGAAAACAAGAAGGGCAGCAAATAATAAAAAGAAGTGAGAAGAACAAGCCAAGGGGCACTAGAAGATTAAGCTTTTATACAGAATCATTGAGGAGATGCTGAGTGAAAGCATAAACGAGTTTGAAGCAGTCAGTCAAGTAGAGAAAGCCAAAACTGCAGAAATCTTTGGATATTTAAATTCTTCCACTTTGGGTGTTTTTACAGCTCCTTCTTCTAGCTGGAGCCTCTGAGTGAGTTTC